ACTTTAAAAAAAATCTATTCAAACCAGTTCAATTTAGTTTCAGTGCCTGTGTTTTTACTCTGCGACCCTGCCTCTCAAGAACTAAGCTGATTGTTTTCTCTGGTAATAATCTCTGATTGTAATTGTTCCACTGGGATTTTACTAGTTCCTTATCTGAAATTTTTGTCATTGGTCATTTCATTGTGATATGTCTTAGTATAAGTTTCTTTTTAGTTATTCTGTTTGAGATTCACATTCGTCTTAAATCTCTGGTTTTATTATCTTTCATCAGTTCTTGCAGTTACTTCCTCACTATTTACCTCTGCTCACTTTGCTCTCTCCTTTCTTCCTGAGACACTTATCAAATGCGTATTAGACCTTCTCATTGTATTGATCTCTCGTCTTTTTTTCTGTATTTTGTTTTACTTCCTTCACAATTGGATTTTGTATCATTTATAGAGATGCATTCTACAAAATCTTCTCATTCTGTGGACATTTTTCCATCTATCTCCCAGTTCCCAAATTCTCTTTTCTGTTGTGTTAATATGCTGGTAGATTAATTTTACATTTTGGTTATTGTAGTTTTTTGTATTTCTTGAAGTTCTGTTGGTTTTGTTTAAGTTTTGTTACCTTGTTAGACTTTCCTGTGGGATCTTGTTAGTTTTTCGTGTGTTACTACCCTATTATGGTTTTGTTTCCTGCAAATATTTTCACACATTTAATATTTATTTCTTATATCTTAAATCTGTTTTGATTCTGTTTTTGTTGTGTGTATATGTGTGTATGTCAAAGTGTGTTGAGTGAAAAAAGCCAGACAGATGCATATAAAACATATATTGTATAATGTCGTTTATATGAAATCCAACAACAGAAAAAACAAATCCAAAGGTGCTAGAAGTCCAAAACTGATTACCTCTAAGAGAAGGGTGATGGAAATGTTTTAAAGGTTTTTTGAGCTGGTAGTTGCAGAGATATATACACTTAACAAAGCTCATGGACCTAATACTTAGGAACTGTGTGTTTTATTGTAAGCTATACTCCAGCTGAAAAATTTTTAAAATATAGTGTTGCTATTGTCAAATTTTCCTATCTCCATCTTTGTTCTTTCTTACTTTCCTTTAATTTCACTTTAAACTAGAGTCTTTACATCAGAAATATATAGTTCAGGGGTGGATTCCTGGTAAAAGGAGAAACAGTAAGGGCCACCATTCCCCTAGTCATGAATGTTCGCAGTATACTTTTCTTCAGGGTCAAAGAGTCAAACATAGATTTCCCTAATGCTTGATGTAATAGCCACTTAACCTTGTGTACATTTATGGCATCAAATTGTTTTACATTGCACTCAAGTTGCTTATTATCTGGATCTAGATCCTTGGAGAGACAAAGATGCCTAATAGAGTGTTACATTATGTAAGAGCTGATACTGTGATTTATAACATTTGGAATTGGGGCCTAGTGATATTTTATTAACTTACATTTTTTATTGTTGTTACTGTTTTTTGTTTGTTTGTTTGTTTTTTGTTCTTTTTTTTTTTAATTAGGAGCCCATGAAATCCAGAGCACCACAGCTACATTTGGAATACAGATTCTACAAGCAGTTAGGATCTGGAGGTAAAGACTTACGTTAATATTTACATTTGTAATAATGGATTGTCATGATAATAACTCTGTAATTTCAAAGAATACTATTTTAAATTTGATTAAAATGAACCACTTCTTAAGGCTATGCTTACTAGACATTTTCTTTTAGAGTCTTACCTTTTTATTTTAAATATGACTTTTTGAAACTTTTTGTGTTGGTGCTAGTATAAATAGAGAGCATTGTGAAAAATTTAATTTGAGACTATAAGATGCATGTCTGTATTCTTAGCCTTTGAGTGATTTTATAGTTACTGAAATGACTTACGATGTGGTGGTAGGCTGAAAATGGTCCCATAAAAGATATCCATATCATGATCCCTGGAACCTGTAAATGTTACCTTATACCAAAGACTTTGTAGGTATGATCAAGTTAAGGATCTTGAGATGAGGAGATTATTCTGAATTATCTGGGTGGCCTCAAAATGCAGTCACAAATGTCCCTTTAAAAGAGAGTCGGAGAAACGATTTACATACACAGAAGAGGAGAGGGCAAAGAGGCTATAAAGGTCAAGGTTGTCGGAGTGATATAGCCCTAAGCCAAGGAATGCTGGCTGCTGAAAACCTGGTCTAGGATTCCCCTGTAGAGCCTCCAGAGGGAGTGTGTCCCTACCAACACCTTGATCAGCTTGTTGAAACTGATTTAAATTTCTGGCCTTCAGAACTGTGAGAAAATAAATTTTTGTTATTTGAAGCCAGAAGTATGTAGTAATTACATTGGCTGTAGGAAAGTAATACAGGTATATTTTTACATAAACTCTAAATGTGAGAATGGATATTTTGTGCCATTGGAAAAAACTAATGAGAAAATTTCCTATTGTATGTTGCATTTACTTCGTGTTAATGTTTTCTCAGCTCCACTTTTTCTGTTCACTCCTGTTCTACTAGCTGTAATGATTTTATATGTAAAGTTTCTTTCCAGGTAGGGATATTTTGTTTCCCTGGATTTAATAAAATGGAATTTTTTTCATGTGTCTTTTTGTAAGCACATGTTTATATTCTGGTTGGTAGAGCTATTTATTAATGCATTAGCAATTTTGCATTCTTTTTTTTTCCTAACATCATACTTTCTGAAAGAGTAGTCATTGTGGGGGCAATAAGTTGACATTTTATATTCATGTTTTTATCACTGTAGACTTCCTGTAGTGCATGTTTAAGTGTGATACAGACAGGCCTCCAGGACCTATAAAAATTACCACTGACAATTGAGATTTAAATGATAAGAGGATACAACTATTACATGTGAAACCATACATACTAGTTAGGACTAGCAAGTGACAGAAAGCCCTAAGAAACTAAGTGGGGGGAAAAAAAAGGTTTTTTGACTCATGTACTGGAAATTCAGGGAAAGGCCCTACCTATAAGACACTGCTGTATCTGGGACTTCAAACACTGTCATCAGGGACATTCTTGAATTTTTCTGTATGCTCTGCCTTTGTGTGTGTGTAAGTTTGTTCTCTGGTTGACCCTTCTTATGAGATGGCAGAGGTGGTTACCAACAGCCTACCTTGTCAGTCATAAAAGTATCTCTTAACTAAAATTTTCAGCAAAAGTTCTAGGACTGAATCTTACTGTCTTATTTTGTTTCTCATCATTTAATCATTGTGAATTTGATTGCCAAAACTTAAATCTTGTGCTTTTCTTAGGCACTACCTGAAATTCAGGGACTGAGAAAGGGGAGAGGTGGTTGCCTAAAGGGAAATTGAGGTGTTAGCAAAAGAAAGATTACATACTGGGGAGATAAAGATAAGAGATCTACTTAAGTAGTAAAACTATCATTTGTAAAAAATAGGATTGGATACTTTCATTGGATATGAGTGAGTAAGTCAGTTTAGAGTTTAAGGAATTGTTGAATTGAATACCATGGGATACTTACTTTTATTATTCTATTCTTTGCCTTTTTTAACTTTAAAAATTTATGTCAGAGATAGTAATAATAATGAAACACAGATCTTTTAGCACTTGAATGCCAAAGGGCTGTTGTGTTGCACAGCTCCAGGGACCACCATTTACAAGGTGGTCTGTACATATCAGAGTGCTCCCCTGTGCTCTGTGGCATAGTGTTTACATAAATTGCAATATGGATATTATGGCCTCAAGAAGTGTGTTATGGTGGCTCTGAAACCCTGACAAGTGTAGATATTTTTGAGTATTTCATATGAATCATGTGAATTTTGGTTATTAGTGTTTTTATCAATCTTGAATTTTAAAAACATTTTTGAGTACCTGTGTGAGCTCTGCAGAAAAAAAAAGGAGTTTAATTGGGGAAAGACTAATGACTTTAAAATAATTTGATTTTGGAACTAATACTTGAAAGGGTTATATTTTCAGACTGCTTTTAATGATAAGTGGACCATTCATAGTAATTTTTAACCTATAGTTCTCTTATGGTATTTTAAGTTTCATTTAAGTAGCAACTTGCTTGTTAATCTTCTCTTTAAAAATAGATGTATTTAATAATATTCAGAATATATAAGGAACTAAAACCCAACAACAAAAATACAATCTAATTTTTAAATGGGCGAAGGACTTGAATAGACATTATCTAAAGAAAGATATACAAATGTCCAATAAGCACAAGAAAAGATGCTGAATATCACTAATCATTAGGGAAATGTAAATCTAAAGCAGAAAGACATACCACTTCATACCCATTAGAGTGGCTATTATTAAACAAAGGAAAAACAAGCTAAAACTCTGTATACAAATGTTGAAAAACAAACTAAAACCCATAAACAAATGTTGATGTGGAGAAATTGGAATCTTTGTGCATTGCTGGTAGGAACTTGTAGCTTTCCATAGGATTAGAATATTATTTTATAACCATTATCACTTTGTGTGGTAGCAAAAATTTAAAGTATTGAATGGTCTTGTTTTGTTATATCCACTCAGCATTTTTTAAGTAAAATGAAAGTCTTGATTTGGGAGTCATCAGCACTCACAGGGAGTGGTTTTAAAGCTAAGAGAGTGGATGAGGTCTCCCAGGGCAGAGTGTAGAGACTGACGAGAGAAGAGGAAGAAAGGCAAAACCATGATGTTGGTTAGGAATAAATATGACTGTCAGTAACAAAAATCATGACAGCAGTAGCTTAAACAGGCAAAGGGCTGTGAGGATAAATAAATAAGAGTCCTGAGGTGGACAGTTGTAGGATTGAAGTAGTATAGAAAAATAAGGAATCAGGCTCTCTCTAGCTTCCTGCTCCTATTTTCAGTGTTTGGCTTTTATTTTTATGATTCTGGATATTTTTGTAACAGGAGGGAAGAAGAAAATAATGAAATTACTATCTATATAAGGGTAACTTTCAGTTCTTTTTCTCCTGCCTTCTTTTTTTTTTTGATTGAGGTATAGTCAGTTTACAATGTTGTGTTAGTTTGTGGTGAACAGTATAGTGATTCCGTTATACATATATATGTATATTCTTTTTCTTTCTTATTTTTCATTATAGGTTATTACGATCTATTGAATATAGTTTGCTGTTCTCCCGACTCCATTGTTAAAATCTAGTGATACATATATGTCGCTACTAGAATTAAATATTTTATATACCCAGAATTTCTCTCCCTATCTTCTTTCCCTTTACTTTTCCAATGAATTTTCTCTCTTGCTCTTCTGGATAATCTTGTTCCGTTAGTGGCACACTCATTCAAGCTGAAAATGTTAGTCCCCTTTAGTTTTGGCTTTTTGGGATAATGTAACAGGTCTGCCAGTTATGTCTCTTAAGACATCTCTTGACTTCATTCTCTTCTCCCAGTCTCCACTGTCACTTTTCTTTGCATTGGACTGCTTTTTATGCATCTCACCTCTTTCTTACCTCTACTCCTCAGAGGCTTTTCATTTAGCGTAAAGGCCAAATTTCTTTCTCTTTCTACTGACCTACTTTTTAGTTGCACTAAAGTTAATATTCTTTGAATAGATTTTATTATTTTCACATATCTGTATTCTTCTTTCTAGAATGTCTTTCTTTCTCAATGAATTCCTTCCTCCTTCAGTCCCCAGCTAAATGTCTTCTCTTTTGCATTGCATTTCCTAACATTTGTTAGTTTTGCTTCAGAAAAAGCTTCTTCTTTGACTTGTAATTACTTTGAATATATTTTCATTTTTCTTTTATCATATCATATTACATTTTCATTTGCTTATGTATGTCTCTGTCATTAAAATTTGAACTATTTGAGGACAGTGAAATGATATATTCACCTTTTTGTCCTTGAACCTGAGCAGAATGATCGACAATTGTAGGTCCTTGGTAAATGACTGAAATGATAAATTCTTCAATGAGAATAATGTTTTCTTTCCTTAGATGTGAAATTGCAGTACATAATCTCCAGTATTTCTTATAAATTTTTAACTTCTGTGATCATGTTTACAGTTTGATATTTTAATGTTATATAAAGTTGTTATATTATTACATTTTGAGTAATAAACATAACTATAATTTCAAAAATTTTATTTATTTTAATGCATATCATTTATATTATGTTATGATCAGGTAAATTTAATTCCTCGTTTTAGAGATTCATAAATAGAAGGAAAAAATCAGTGATGAATATTTTTCAAATGATTGGAAATGTTAAACCAAAGAGATATGCAGATAGTTATTTAATTAACTGAACTGTACAATTCAGCTAGCTAAAAATTATCACTTCCCAGAGAAGCATAGGTTTTAATTATTAGAATTAATTCAGTTTTTTTTATTTACTTGAAAAACATTTAGTTGAATTGTTGATACTTCATGAAAAGGCAGTTGAACATATTTTGAAATTTATAGGTAAAGTTTTTTGATGATCTGTGATTCTGAATAATTCTTCTTTGTATTAAATTATTTCCTTGACATCAGATGGTTTCAATAGGCTCTATTTGGGGAAATTTTGCATTCATTTATTCCTTGCAATTTTGATCTCTTTATCACAGACAGTCAAATAACTTTTTTTTCTGTCATAAATTATTACTTACTGAAGGAAGTAAAATAATCTTT